TACTAATTTTTCTCTGCTTTGGCTTCCATAACTGGCAGAAGGGAATAGTGATAGTATTTACCATAGAGGGCCTTTGCTGTGATTAAATTGATTAATATAGCCCTGGCCGAATGGCTCAGTTGGTTGGAGTTTCATCCCATACATCAAAAGGTGGCAGTTTTGATTCTGTCAGGGCACATACCAAGGTTGCATTTTTGATCCCTGGTCAGGGCTCATATGGGAGGCAACTGATCAATGTTTTTCTCTCATTGATATCTCCTTTTCTCTAAAAATCAATGAACAGCCCAATAGACTGAAACCTTCAGGTTCGATTCCGGTCAAGAACATGTATCTTGGTTGCAGGCTCCTCCCCAACCTGTGCCCTTGTCAGGGCTCGTGCAGGAAGCAACCAATTGATGTGTTTCTCTCATGTCATTGTTTCTCTTTGTCTTTCCCTTGCTCTTCCAGTCTCTCTAAAAAGCAATGGGGCCCAGCCAGCGTGGCTCAGTAGTTGAGTGTTGACCAGGAGCCAAGAGGTCACAGTTAGATTCCCAGACAGGGCACATGCCTGGTTTGCGGACTCAATCTCCAGTGTGGGGCATGCAGAAAGCAATCAATGATACTCTTTCATCATTGATGTTTTTACCTCTCTCCCTCTCCCTTCCTCTCTGAAACCAATAAAAATACATTTTTTAAAAAGATGTTTCTCTACCGGAACTGATTTGGCTCAGTGGATGGAGCGTCGGCCTGCAGACTAGAAGGTCCCGGGTTCGATTCCGGTCAAGGGCATGTACCTTGGTTGCGGGCACCTCCCCGGTGGGGGCTGTGCAGGAGGCAGCTGGTCAATGTTTCTTTCTCATTGATGCTTCTAGCTCTCTGTCCCTCTCCCTTCTTCTCTGTAAAAAATCAATACAAAAAAAAAAGTTTCCTATTTATTTATTTATTTATTTATTTAAATATATTTTATTGATTTTGTACAGAGAGGAAGGGAGAGAGATAGAGAGTTAGAAACATTGATGAGAGAGAGTCATCGATCAGCTGCCTCTTGCACACCCGCTACTGGGGATATGCCCGCAACCAAGGTACATGCCCTTGACTGGAATCGAACCTGGGACCCTTCAGTCCCCAAGCCGACGCTTTATCCATTGAGCCAAACCGGTCTCGGCAAAAGTTTCCTATTTAAAAAAAAAAAAAAAAGCAATGGAAAGAATATCCAAAGGTGAGGATTGAATAAATAAATAAATACATAAGCAAATCAAGCTGAAACTGGATTGGCTCAGTGGATAGAGTGTCAGCCTGCGGACTGAAAGGCCCCAGGTTTGATTCCGGTCAAGGGCATGTATCTTGGTTGTGGGCACATCCCCAGTAGGGAGTGTGCAAGAGGCAGCTGATTGATGTTTCGCATTGATGTTTCTCTCTATCCCTCTCTCTTCCTCTGTACAAAAGTCAATAAAAAAAAAAAAAGAAAGAAAATCAATAAACATATCCTGAGATGAGGATTTTTTAACAATTAATTTTAAAGCTCAGAATTGCTCCTGGCACATAGTAAGTGCTTAATAAATTTTGCCAGGCACTAAGAATTCCTTCAGGAATAGGGCCCAGGATGCCCGTGTTTATAGGAGACCTGTAAAATGAGGAGGCTAAAGGAAAGAATTTATTGGCTCCACAAATACAAAAAGAAGACTGTAAAATCAGAATTAATACCTTATCAAACGTCTCCACATCTACAAAAATTTGTCAACTTCATCAACTGCTAAATTTTGTATTCTTAATAATTTCATTACATTTCAAAAGAGCTCCTAGGTTAAATTTTCTCACTTTGTAGGAATTCCCACACCTGCAGGATGATTGCCAGGCTTACATTGCATGTGTTACTTTTAGTCAAAAAATTTCAAATGCAACGTTATAACAAGGGCTTTTTACCTTTTAAACACACATCCACAAAGTCTTGGTTAGTGGGGATGGGGTGACTGTTAACTGGCTTCCAGGTCTCTCCTGTGTAGTATCACTGTCCCTATCTTGGTCACATGGTCCAAGGTGAGGCCCAGATGTCATAAAGAGTCAAAAGCCAGAAAATAAAGACTTGGCTAACCCACCTGGAATGTGGTAGACACAGAGTAGTGAATGCTTACCGAACTTAGGAGGAGAAAGAAAATACAGAATAATTCTGTATCTTCAAGTTTCCAGATTGCTTCACCTTTGTATGACCTACTGGCTCTTTTGAGACCTGGTACAAAATTCCTCTAGTTTAAAGTGTTATGGGGCCTCTAGATCCTGTGTCTTCTGGTGTGGGCAATAAACACCAGGTGGAAGATTATCTGCTGAGACGCAGAGGGGGCACTACAGACATGTTTGGACTGTGCAGTAGTAGGACTGCCGTTACTTAGAACTGAGGAAGGTATAGGGAGTTACGTGCTTCTTTAAAATGCACCTCCTGCCGAGACTGGTTTGGCTCAATGGATAGAGCATCGGCTTGGGGACTGAAGGGTCCCAGGTTCGATTCCAGTCAAGGGCATGTGCCTTGGTTGCGGGCATATCCCCAGTAGGGGGTGTGCAAGAGGCAGCTGATCGATGACACTCTCTCATCGATGTTTCTAGCTCTCTATCTCTCTCCCTTCCTCTCTATACAAATTCAATAAAATATATTTAATAAATAAATAAATAAATAAATAAATAAATAAATAAATAAATAAAATGCACCTCCTGCTCCAGCCCAGCAGCTCACTAGAGCATCATCCCTATATGCTCAGGCTGCAGGTTCAGTCCAGGTCATATGCAAGAAGCAACCAATGAACACATAAGTGAAACAACAAATTGATGTTTCTCAAATCAATACATAATTTTTTAAAATGCACCTTACTTCACCTCCAGCAGGTCTGAGAGTTGGGGTTCCCAGGCCCCAAGTCAGACGTGCTGGTTTGATTCAGGCCCTACCTCCAGCCACTCCTGGGATCCTGACGGTTGAGAAGCACTGGGATGGTGGCCCTTTTGGGGAGGCCTCCATGAGGGTTGGGTGACTTGAGACCAAGCTAGGCGGGAGAGTTCCAACCCCAGCTCTGCCCTTCGCCACCTGGATGACCTTGAACCCCTCTGAATTTTCTTGTAAAATGGGCAGGGCGATTCAGAGGATGTGAGAAGATGATGCATTTAAAGTGCTTTACACAGTATGTGCATGTAGTAGGCTCTTAACAAATGGTTGTAGTTGCTGTTAATCCTACAAGAACCAGGTCTGAAGTAGGCCTCTGCCTCCGCCAGAAAGCCCTCCCTCTACGGAGCAAGTGCTGCCGGCCACGAAGGACCAAATGTTTACAGACTCAGCTGAAATGAGACCCAGCAGGGTAGATTTCACAAGCAGCTGAGAAAATGTCCCTTCAGTCCCTGTCCCTGGAATAACAGGACACAGAGAGGGAAGAAGCCCACTTGGCCAAGTCCCCTCCCACCCCCAGCAAGGCAAGATCAAAGATGTGAGGAAGGGGTCCATTTGGCATTCATGTCCATCTGTAATCTATGATAGTGCATTAATAATTTTTTTAATTAAAAACATTTTTTATTGATTTTTTTACAGAGAGGAAAGGAGAAGGGAGAGAGAGTTAGAAACATCGATGAGAGAGAAACATCGATCAGCTGCCTCCTGCACACCCCCTACTGGGGATGTGTCCACAACCAAGGTACATGCCCTTGACCGGAATCGAACCTGGGACACTTCAGTCCGCAGGCTGACACTCTATCCACTGAGCCAAACCAGTTAGGGCTGCATTAATTTTTAAAACCAAGAGGCCCCAGGTTTGGCCTCTTGAATGCTGCATGCTGCGGGGTTAAGTGCTGGGAGCCTCTCGCCACATCTTCCAGTTCTTCAGTCTTACCTACCTCATGCCAACCTGCTGAGAAACTGGCAGGGCGCCCCACATACCCAGCCACAGAAACCTCATAAAAGGGAGGCTCATAAAAGGCACTGAAGCTTCTCCTGCATAGTTGCTGCCGGCCACGACGGACCAAATGTTTACAGACTCAGCTGAAATGAGACCCAGCAGGGTAGATTTCACAAGCAGCTGAGAAAATGTCCCTTCAGCCCCTGTCCCTGGAAAAACAGGACACAGAGAGGGAAGAAGCCCACTTGGCCAAGCCCCCTCCCACCCCCAGCAAGGCAAGATCAAAGATCTGGGCTCAAGAGTTACTTAAGAGCCTTTTCTATTGAATAGCTCACTCATTCATTTAGCAAACACTTCCTGGGCATTTCCTGTGTGCTGGGCTCTGCCAGGGATGCAGCCATGACCATAACCAAGACAGACCTGCTTCCGGAGCTCAGTGGATGATTTCAGGGACGGGATGGAATAAGGAAAAGAAGAGATTAAGAGGCTCCTGGAGGAGGTGACTGGAAGGGCATTCTGGGAGAGGGAACAGAATGTGCAGTAGCCCAGAAAGGAAAGGGTGCAGCACCTCAGAGCAGGCAGGTGCAGGGGAGACATGGGGTCAGGCAGAGTGGCCTCCAAAGTCTGGGTGGTCAGGGTTCAGGTGTCAGCTAGCAGGTGATGTGGTGGGCGGGGCATTGAGAAGAGATCCCTGCTCTCTTAGTAAGGTTCAAGGGTGACTGTTCCTTCCCCTCTCTTGGACCTTCCTTGCTTGGGGGCCCAATAGGGAGTCAGCAGTAACCAGCCCTGGGGAAGGGGTAAGCCAACATGGCCTATGGGCCTCTTCAGTAACGGAACCAGGCACCCCAATCATCCCTCCCTGTGTACCCCTTATTAGCCGCACCCTCTGTCCTCTGCTCTGCCCTTGTCCAAACAGAGGCTGGACAAGGATAAAGCAGGGGGACCACGTGCTCCTCCAGGTATGAGGTCCCCTCCCCAAAGACCAGAACATAGAAGGCAGGTGTGGCTGGCAGGCAAAGCTGATGAGGTTGGTCATCACACCCCACCTCGACTGAGTCATAGTGACAGCCTTTGGTGGCAAGAAGTGCCAGGATGATATCATTGGGGGACAGGGCACAGGGGATGTGGCTAATAAGAGGGGTACACAGAGTTACAGTCGTGTTCTCAGTGTCGGTCTCAGTGTCCGAGTCTGCCAGTGCTGCCCCGATGGCCTTCCAACACCGTGACCCAGCTGCCGCCAGCGTCGCCGCAGCTCGTAAAGGAGCTGAGCCCAGTGGGGCGCCGCCTGGGGCCCGTGGACAAGAGGTTACAGCAGGAGCTGATGAAAGGAATTCCTTCCTTCTCTGAATCAGACAACCTTTGCAAATGGGTGGGGACCATCCATGGAGCAGCTGGCACAGTATACGTAGACTTGAGGTATAAACTCTCCCTAGAGTTCCCCAGTGGCTACCCGTACAACGCTCCCATGGTGAAGTTCTTCACGCCCTGCTACCACCCCAACATAGACACCCAGGGTAACATCTGCCTGGACATCCTAAAGGACAAGTGGTCTGCCCTGTATGACGTCAGGACCATCCTGCTCTCCATCCAGAGCCCGCTGGGAGAACCCAACGTCGACAGCCCTTTGAACACACATGCTGCAGAGCTCTGGGAAAACCCTACGGTCTTCAAGAAGTACCTACAGGAAAACCATGCAAAGCAGGTCTCCAGCCAAGAGCCCTGCCCGGGGCGGTCCAGCCTGTCTCCTTGTGCTTTTTTTAAAATTTTATTTTATTGATTTTTTACAAAAGGAAGGAAGAGGGATAGAGAGTTAGAAACATCAATCAGCTGCATCCTGCACCCCACCCCACTGGGGATGTGCCCGCAACCAAGGTACATGCCCTTGACCGGAATCAAACCTGGGAACCTTCAATCTGCAGGCCAACGCTCTTATCCACTGAGCCAAACCAGTCAGGGCTTTGTGCTGTCTTTTTACTTTTTTCCTTGATGGTCTGTCCTCGCCTTGATTTCTGTGTAGGACTCTATCTTCAGCTGTGGTGTCATATTTGTTTTGTGTCTTTGTTTTTTAAATTAAGTCTCTGGTTGAGCCCCTGTGATGAATATATTAAATAAATACAATTTGAAGTTATTGAAGAGACTTTGGGCTCTGGCAGTGGGGAAGAGGTGTGAAGGGAGAAAGAAAAAGAGATGGAGAGCCACAGAAGATGAGACAGAGCTGGAGAGAGAGAGACACAGAAAGAAAAGGAAGAGAGAAGAGGCTGAGACAGAGAAATAGAGACACAGATGCAAATAGAGACATAAGCAATCACAGATGAACACAGAGGAACCCCGAGACCCGCAGGGATGTTAAGCTGGAGCTGTCATGCCCCCTGTCCCTTGTACCCACCAGGTGGCGTCCAAAGGCCATGCAGCCATCCCTGCCTAGCTCCTCCTTAGCAGGAGGCCCTGGGCCCCAAGGAGGAGGGATGGAGGTGGAGGCTGGCACAGGGGAATCCCACCTAACCTGGCCCTAATGTGTGTGCATATATCATGTGTATATCTATGCTTGTTTGGGACTATGTCTGCATTGGTCTGGGTGTGCTTTTTAAAATGTTTTTATTGATTTTAGAGGGGAAGGAAGAGGGAGTGAAAGATAGAAATATCAGTGATGAACTGAAACAGGTTTGGCTCAGTGGTAGAGCGTCGGTCTGCGGACTGAAAGGTCCCAGGTTCGATTCCAGTCAGGGGCATGTATGTTGGTTGCGGGCACATCCCCGGTGGTGGTGGTGGTGGGGGGTGTGCAGAAGGCAGCTGGTCGATGTTTCTCTCTCATCGACGTTTCTAGCTCTCTATCTCTTTCCCTTCCTCTCTGTAAAAAAAAAAATCAATAAAATATATTTAAAAAAAAGAAAGAAATATCAGTGATGAGAGAGAATCATTGATGGGCTGCTTTCTGCACACCGCACAATGGGGATGGAGCCCGTAACCCAGGCATGCGTCCTGATTGGGAATTGAACCATGACCTCCTGGTTTATAGGTCAACGCTCAACTACTGAGCCACACCGGTTGGGCTGCATGTGCTTGTTTTGAAGTGGGTGTGTCTTCATAGGTCTGGGAGTGTATGTTCTTGAGTGTGTTTCTGGGGAGGAGAGGTAACTCTATGTGTCTCTTGTCTCCAAACCCACAGAAACCTGACACTACCTCTCCATTCACCTTCCTCGGCAGCTCTGTGTTGAGTCACCGAAAGAATTAGAGATCTGAGCCCTGACCGGTTTGGCTCAGTGGATAGAGCATTAGCCTGCAGACTCAAGGGTTCAGGTTTGATTCCAGTCACGGCCATGTACCTTGGTTGGGAGTACATACGCAGTAGGGGGTGTACTGGAGGCAGCTGATTGATGTTTCTAACTCTCTATCCCTCTCCCTTCCTCTCTGTAAAAAAAAAATCAATAAAATATATATATTTTTAAAAAGAATTAAGAGAACTGAAACATTTATGGAGCACTTAGTGGTGGTACCGAGAGTCTGTCATGGGACCCCCAAGGAAAGGTGACAGGAGACAGAAACAGGTGTTCATGAAACTGATGGAGGAAAATTTAGGTTCTACTAAACCTCAGCACCTACCATGTGCCAGGCCCTAGCTAGAGAGCTACTTTAATGCTGTGGACTCAGTTTCCTTGTCTGTAAAATGGACCTGATATTAGACCAAATCATGGCTTTGCTGTTAAGTGATTGAGTTGAGTTTTGTAAAGCTCTTAAACCCTGCCTGGCACAGCCCAAGGAGTCCGTAAGTGATCAGAAATCACTTATAACTGCAAGCACATCCATTCACCCACGGGTCAGTGGGAGCCCCTGGGAGCCCTCCCCTCACTGCTCAGGGTGTGAGGATTGTCTTAAAGACCTAAGAAGGCAGAAGCTCCGAGGCCTGCACAAAACTTCCCTTTCGGTCCAGCTCACCAGTTCTCTCAGTCAGCGCACAGGGAAATGAGTAGATGAGATGCTATTCCAGGCATCAGGGACTCAGCAGTGAACAAAACAGACAAAAATCCCTGCCTTCGGGCAGTTTCTGCTCTCGTGGAAACAAAACACAATAAATGAAATTGATTTGTCACTGGGCAAAGGTGAGTCATTATAATTAGTTATTACCCATCAAAGGCTTTCAGTACACTTTGCCATTTTACCTTCATGAAAGATGGTACTAACTTACGCCAGCAACAGATGTGTTCTTTGACTTGCACCCTCACAGAACTTAGTATCATTGTTGAATATTAGAGAATCCTAGGGTGATTAAACACTTTTTATGTGAGTCTTTATTTTATGATTTCCCACCTATGTCTTCTATTTTTTTATTATTTTTTAAAATTAGCCCAAACTGGTTTGGCTCAGTGGATAGGGCGTCTGCCTGCGGACTGAAAGGTCCCAGGTTCGATTCTGGTCAAGGGCATGTGCCTTGGTTTCGGGCACATCCTTAGTGGGGGGTGTGCAAGAGGCAGCTGATCGATGTTTCTCTCTCATCAATGTTTCTAAATCTCTATCCCTCTGTCTTCCTCTCTGTAAAAAAATCAATAAAATATATTTAAAATAATAATAATAATAATAATAATATACCACTTTTTAATTTTTTGATTGGTACAGCCACCTTTTTATATTTATTTATTTATTTTGAATCCTCACCCAAAGATATTTTTCCATTGATTTATTTTTTGTTATTATTTTAAATATATATATATAGATATTATTGATTTCAGAGAGGAACATCAATGACAAGAGAATCATTGATCAGCTGCTTCCTGCAGGCCACCTACTAGGGATGGAGCCTGCAACCTGGGCATGTGCCCTTAACCAGAATCGAACCTGGGACCCTTCATCCTGCAGGTGGATGCTTTATCCACTGAGCCATACTGGCTAGTGCGGTCTTTTATTTTTAATTTTCAGTGTTAATCCTCACCTGAACATTGATATTTAGAGAGGGTAGAAGGGAGGGAGAGAGACACAGAGAGAGAGTCATTGATGTGAGAGAGACACATGGATTGTTTGCATCCCCCATGGGCCTGAACCAGGGCCAGGGATCGAGCTTGCAACCTAGGTATGAGCCCTTGACTGGAATCAAACCTGGAACTCTTCAGTCCAAAGGCCAATGCTTTACCCACTGAGCCAAACCAGGTAGGGCTATGTCTTTTATGTGTTCACAGTGACATCCATGTCCTTTGCATATCTATTTTTATTTATCTCTAATGACTATTTATATATGAAGGATGCTACTTTTGAACAGGTTGCTAGCAAATAGCCTTTGTTTTTAATAGAACTAGAAATAACATAATTTACCAACAGGGACCACCATGAACTCTCTTTTACCAGGTATCCTAGCAATGAATTTCTTATGAAATTTCTTTGGAGTGGGACACGTAGACCCAAGAAGTAGTAGCTATGAAGAGAGCACTCTGACCTGAGATAAAGCCATCTTCTAAAATAGATTCCACATTGCCAGGGACCTTTCTAACATAAATTAGATGAGGCCACTCCCTTGTTTCAAACCCTCCCATGGCTCCCCATTGCCCTTAGAAGGAAATCCAAACTCCTCCCCATGCCCTTCTCAAAGCCGCCCTTTCCACACCACATTTTCTTTTTGGTGCTGCGCCCGCCTGGCAGAGGCCCCTGAGCTCTCCTGCTGACTCACTTCTGCTATGTTCCATTTCTGCCTGCTTCACCTTCCTGCGTGGCTTTGGGGAAGCCTCCGTTTTCTCTTCTGAGAAACAGAACAAAAGTACGGACCTTATAGGCTTGGTGACAGGGACCCAATGGGGTAGCTGATTGCAAAGCATGGAGGGATGCCCATTTGCTTTTTCCATAACCTTCTTAGCATCTCTTCGTGGGGGAAGGAGAGACATTGGCAAACAGCTTCCTTGGGACTCGCTTTCCTGATCAAGATGAGGATACAAGTCAGTTCTCTTACTGGACCAGGGAAGGCCAGCCCTTCAGGGCTCAGGGCGTGCATAGGACCAGGCAGGGATTGTAGGGAATTTGTGTCCCGTCCTCAGAGGGCCCATGGCTGACCCTTGGACTGGGGGCCCAGTAGAGCTCCAACCTCTTATATGGAAACACTTACTGACCAATTCTTTAAAAAAAAAAAACCCCAAAAAACAGCCCTAGCTGATTTGGCTCAGTGGCTAGAGCAAGAACCTGCAGACTGAAGGGCCCCAGGTTCAATTCCGGTCAAGGGCACATGCCTGGGTTAAAAGTTTGATTCCCCAGTGGTGGCTGTTCAGGGGCCAACCAATCAATGAGTCTCTCTCATCATGGATGTTTCTATCTCTCTCCCTTCCTCTCTGAAATCAATAAAATGTAAAGTAAATAAATAAATAAATAAATAAATGCAACAGAAACATTGTGTGGGCCTCTGGGCTTGCAGTTTGAGGGGACAAGTCCAATAACAAACCTCTTTTGGCCCTGGCCAGTGGGTTCAGTGGTTAGAGCGTCAGCCCGTGCACCAAAGGGTTGTGGGTTCGATTCTTGGTCAAGGGCACCTATCTGGGTTGCAGGTTAGTTCCTGACCCGGGTGGAGGCATGTGTGGGAAGTAACAAATCGATGTGTCTCTCTCTCATTGATGTTTTTCTCTCTCTTTCCCCCTCCCCCTTTCTCGCTCCCACTCTCTAAAAATCAATGCAGGGGGGTGTCACAAGAGACTAAACATCTGTGACTCCAGAATTTGGCCAAATTCAGTGGCTATGTCACCCGTAGGGGCAAATGGGCACAGACCTCACCCTCCCTTCCTGTCTGCCTGCAGTATCAGGGGACACCAGCCCCACCCACACGTATCCCTTCTGCTTCAGAGGACCCATGCATTCTGGCCTTTTTTTTTCTTTCATTTTTTTATTAAGGTATTATATGTATATCTGGCCCTTTTAAAAAACCTGTTCTTCTCACTTCCCACTGATTCTCTGAACTCCCTCAGAACCTTCCCCCTCATTCCTTTGCCCCCTAAGACACCCAGAAGTCACCTGTGTGTTGATTCGTAGGGAACCCTGAGCCCTGGATTCTAGAATGTCCATGAGGAGGGGTGAATATTCTGAGGGTCTGGAACGCCAGGCCTTCCAAGATGCCGGGAGTCCGCAGTTTCAGTGATCCTACGGTGCTGGGCCTCCCAGGTCCCAGACGCAGGGATTCTCCAGCTTATCCCTGCCTTCCCGGCTCCTCCATAATTGCTCCTGACAGATAGTAGTGTTTCCAGGCAGAAACATGATTCCTCTAATCCAGCAGGCCACGCCCAGGGCCTGCTGCGCACAGCCACCTGGCTTTCCCCGAGCAGCTTAATGAGAGAGTCAGAATTAATTGGAACTGGCACCCGACACTCACAGGGCTCAGGGTGGCCGGCTTGGCCTCCATATGTTCCTGGGCCTTGCTCTGATCTGTCCTAGACATCAACAGGTATGACACGTGAGGCCTGGAGC